TTTTTGTTAGGTTTAGGGTTAGGGTTAGAGTTAGTGGTCGGGCTAGGGTTAGGGTTAGGTTTAGGGCTAGAGTTAGGGTTTTTGTTAGGTTTAGGGTTAGGGTTAGAGTTAGGATTAGGTTTAGGGTTAGGGTTAGGTTTAGGGCTAGAGTTAGGGTTTTTGTTAGGTTTAGGGTTAGGGTTAGAGTTAGGGTTAAGAACTGCCGGGCATTTAGGAAAACGAAGACCGTGCCCGGCTGCCGGGCATATAGCCACAGCGTTTAGGAAAACGAAGACCGTGCCCGGCTGCCGGGCATATAGCCACAGCGTAATTAGTAGGCCTAAATAAAAAAATAAATAAAATAAAATAAAAATGAACAGGTGCACTCCGGAGAAAAGATAATTTACACTCTTACGCTGCGTACACACTTACTTCTTACGTCGAAGGTCTACATTTCATACTAGTACTGAACGTCGGTCTGACGGTTAGTATCGCTTTTCTTACTTACCTACTGATTTTCAGTTCTTGGCCAAAGTCATGTGTTCGCCGCTCCGAACTCATAAAGCGAATATGTCAACCAAATGTCAACTAACCGATGACAAGCTTTACCACAGACTAACCAATCACGAACTGCCGATAAGAATTCTGGGTAGGGAGCTCCCAAACACCGAAATGACTCGAAATGACTTAGTTGCGACGGTACGTCTGCATGGTAAACACTCATAAAATATGGTATATACCTCAGAAAAATTTGGTATACGCTTCACTGATAACGCCTGCTATCAATACAGTTGGTACGCGCTTTACTAATCACTGCATTACCACGCTGAAAAGTACGTGGGTATACGTTTTCGGTGGAGCGACTTTCTTGATGTGACACCGGTTCCTGTTATGTCGTCCTCCACTTCCCTGTCGCTGGCGTAGTATATATACTATAAGTATTATATATTATTATATGGTGAGTTCTTGCTTGTCTTTGGATAATGAAACCGAGCACGAGTTACATTCAGTCGCATAATGATAACATCCAACATCAGCCGAAATTACGTACTGTTACCTGTTAATGTTATGCACAAGACAAGACAGTCACTGAGTCAGTATAGACACTACTCACGACACTAGTTCGTAGTTGTAATACTCATACTCAATAATTCAGTCAATACTACCGGTAGGCCTACTGAGTAGGCCTATTGGTCGAAAAATTTCTAGATAAGGTAGAAGCCCATAAATAGCACCACATTCACTTCAATCGTTATTCACTTCGTTTCATTTCATTCGATTGTTTTTCAGAAACCCCGCTTTATTTAACTTTAGTAAATTGCGTTTGCCATTTACAAACAATCAGAGCGAGTCTATCAGTATCAGGCCTCCTGCAGCGCCACAGATACAAGCGAGAACCAGGGGCTATTGTAAGACTCGCTCTGATTGGTCTGATTGTTTGTAAATGGCAAACGTAATTTACTAAAGAACTTACTCGCGACGACTCGCGACTATAAAACGTCTGTGGTAGGCAATTAATGCCTCTTATCCGAAGTGAATATGTCTTAAGTTATATCCGCTACTAAAATTTAACCTGTAACTATCGTTGAAATGGTCTACTTGCGGTATTTCTTGTGAACAAACATTCGATTTGCGAACTTCAAACGGCCATTTTTGGCGGCGCTGCAGCAGCGCCAGTGAGCGGGAACTATGTATTTCCGCACGTGGAGGGGTGGGCGGGTTGGGTTTTTGGTGGACAAAAACATTG